GAATGGAGGCCTTGGGTTCCTCTTTAAGGGTTCTTTAGGGTTTAGGGTTCAGGGTTTAGGGTTTAGGGTTTAGGGTTTAGGGTTTAGGGTTTAGGGTTTAGGGTTTAGGGCTTAAGGGTTTGAGGGTTCCTTTTTGAGGCTTCCTTTTTGAGGTTTCCGGTTTCTAATTTTCTCCTAAAAGGCTCTATGAGGGTTGCTGTAAGGATTACAAACAGGGGCACTATAAGGGTTCCTGTTTAAGGGTTCCTTTGCAGGGTTCAGTAAGGGTTCCTACAAGGGACACTCGAAGGGAAATTATGCGGGATACTGTAGGGCCTACAGGGTCAGTATAGGGTTTAGGGTTTAGGGTTTAGGGTTTAGGGTTTAGGGTTTAGGGTTTAGGGGAAAGGGATACTAAACCCTAAACCCTATACCCTAAACCATAAACCAAGGGTCATTATCGAGGCTTCGTTCTGGACATGCCGCCGCCACCGCTGGGGATGACCGTGGCAGCCCTTCAGGGGCTCTTGAACAAGAAGTTGGGTCGTCCCGCGGTCTTCCTTCGTAACTGGGTCCTTGTTGGATACCATGTTACAGTTTTTGTTATCATTAAACCCAATAAGGATTAAACATGATCATCTTTCATATAAGCAGAGAACCAGGTAAGATGCCAGCAGATGCCGACTGGCTCAAGACAGCGATAGCCATGGAGCCTAGCTTGAAGGAGGCGAAGTTCCAGGAAGTTCAGTGGCCTGACCTGCTGGAGGCTGCCGTCACGGCCGGGGCGGTTTCTGGCCGAGTCCTGGTGAATTCCTCTGAGCCCTGGTCTTTTGCAAGTGCCGTGACCCTCGCGGCTTTGCATACTGCCATTCCCATTGACGCAGGCGCTTCTCCTTCTCTTTGTGAGAGGTGTGAAACCCATGGAAACCCTAAACCATAGACAGAAGGACGGAGGGTAGCTTCGTTAAAGGGCTCTACCATTCATATCCGAATCCGAAACCCTAAATCGTAATCCCCGAAAACTAAACCCTAAACCCCTCTCAAAAACCAAATAAATCCCCACCAGGCATCTCCTTGAAGCGTTCCCTCCCGGTGCTTGCGGACCTGCGTGGGAGATGGGCCTCCCAGGTGGAAGCGACCAAAGCGTTGGTCTGGGAGACTTGCATCGGGGGGACTTCGTGATTACTTTATTTGGGTTTAGGGTTTTTTCTATTGTAAATTTTAGAGTTTAGGGTTGAGGGGTTTAGGGTCTAGAATTTAAATTTTAGAATTTGGGGTTGGGGGGTTTAGGGTCTAGGATAACAGCTTTTCTGCGGTGGCCCTTCTATTAGTAAGTATACGGCTACTACTATATATGTTACACCCAAACCCTATCCTAGCTGCAAGTTTGGGTCTCAGGCTCGGGGTGTTGGGTCTGGGAAGGGTTTACGGTCTGCGCTCCAATCCCCAGCGTGTAGGGTTTTCCTGTCTAAGGACGGCTAGCAATTCCTCCAAACCCTAAACCTCTTATCTCAAACCCCAAGCCTTAAACCCTAAGCCCTAAACCCTAAACCCTAAACCCTAAACCCTAAACCCCAAACCTTAAACCCTAAACCCTTAAAGGAACCCCTCCTAAAACCCAAAACCCTACCTCCAAACTCCAAATCCGGACGTTTCCCCAAGGAAGGTGTCTTGAAGAACGTGACGACGTCGCGCATCGTCGTGCAGACACCGCAGCTACTCTCGGAAGGGTTCTTGGTCGACTCTGGGTGGCACTTTCGAGTTAGGGTTTAGGGCGGCCTAGGGGTCTAGGGTTTAGGGTTTAGGGTTTAGGGTTTAGGGTTTAGGGTTTAGGGTTATAGGGTTTAGGGTTTAGGCCTTTATGGTTCTGCACAGGCGGCTTGTTATAAATAGTTTTGGGGGCTCCTAACCTACCCAGGACTTAGCCTTGAAAGACAAGATGTTCGTGATGTGGCTCGATGACCTGTGTACAAATGGTACGCAGGGGAACTTGCTTTTCAGGCAGGTGACGGAGTTTCTATCGGAAGCCGGCAGGGAGCTATCTATCATGGGATATTTCGCAGGCTCCGAGGTGGTGGCAGACTGCACAACCAGTCACTCTGAGATCTCCCTCGTTTCAGATTTCGCTCCGAACTTGGCATTTTTCTCGCTCCTTCCGCCGGTGGTGTCGTTGAAGCAGGCTCCTTTGCTCCCCGTACCGATGTACGACTCCTCCAAGATCTATGTGGCTCTCTTGTCTTCAGATGGGGACAATATGCAGCTGGACTACAACTCCTTGAGGCCTACAAAAGGAATCGTGGTCCGAGAATCCCAAACGATTCACATCGAAACTCAACACACGAAAGATCCGTTACAGAGCCTTCATCGAACCCGTATAGAGCCCTTGTAGAGCCCTTACAGGACCCATGTATATCACTAAACTCTAAACACTAAATCCTAGATCCTAGGAGCCTAAATCCTACATCCCAGAGCCCTAGAGCCCTAAATCCTAAATCCCAGAACCCTAGAGCCCTAAATCCTAAATCCTACGGTTGACGATATAAGTCCGTTTATGTGCCCCTCAATCCGAGAAGAGCCCTAAATCCGAGAAGAGCCCTAAGTCCGAGAAGAACCCCAAATCCGTTAAGAACCCTAAGTCCGTTTATGACCCTAAATCCGATAAGAACCCCACATCCGATAGGAACCCTAAGTCCGTTTATGACCCTAAATCCGTTTTTAACCCTAAGTCCGTTTAGGACCCTGAATCCGAGAAGAACCCCAAATCCGTTTATGACCCTAAGTCCGTTTTTAACCCTAAATCCGATCAGAACCCCACATCCGATAGGAACCCTAAGTCCGTTTATGACCCTAAATCCGTTTTTAACCCTAAGTCCGT